GTATTTTGTTGAGGATTTTTGCATCTATGTTCATCAGCGATATTGGCCTGTAGTTTTCTTTCTTTGTGACTCCTTGTCTGGTTATGGTATCAGGGTGATGGTGGCCTCGTAGAATGAGTTTGGGAGTGTTCCTCCCTCTGCTATATTTTGGAAGAGTTGAGAAGGATAGGTGTTAGCTCTTCTCTAAATGTTTGATAGAATTCGCCTGTGAAGCCATCTGGTCCTGAAGACAGCCCTATTTTTTAAATGGGCAAATGATATGAATAGAAAATGAAAAGAAGAAATACAGGCAGCCAATTCACTTATGAAAAACAAATTTAATCTCAGTAGTAATAAAAGAGGTGAAAAGAAACTTCAATGAGAGATTCTATTTACCCTCATCAAATAAGCAAAAATTAAATATTGATAATATGAAGTTCTGGCAAAGGTGTAGGGAAATAGATTCTCTCATTTACAGTTGGTAGAAGGAAAATATAAATTAGCATAGACTTTTCAGAGGCCAATTTGGCAATATATATTAAGGTACAAAATGTGAATACATATACTTTGTCCAAGTTTTCTGCTTTAAAGGATCTGTCCCATACAAATACTGGCATACTCTGGAGAAAGGGAAGAATTACAATGTAAATTCCTTACTAGGGGATACTGTGCATCCATTTAAAAGCATAAAATAAATCAGAATGCATTAACATGAAAGTATCTCTAACCATAGTAACGTGGGAAAGAAAGCTGTATAACATATATAGTATAATTACTTTTTTTGATGCTGTATATCTGTTGAAATCATCTGATATGTAAGCTTTCATCTGGTACTGGACTTACAGAACTGAAGAAAACAGATAAGGTTCCTGGCCTTACATACTTTACATATCCAGTTTGGGAGATGGGAGATGAGAGTGGGGCTGGGGTGAGCAAATAATAAACCAGTTAGCAAATACATAAGTTTCTATTAGTGATAAGTGTTCTATTAAAGCAATAAACAGGGACTGTAGTGGGAGAGGAGGCCCAGCGTAAAGTTAGTGCTATCAGTAAATGAGAGCAATTATGATCTCCCCACATATGTTCTGGAATTGAAAACCCCTACAATTCCTATCAATCTCTTGTCTTTCAAGATGTGCCAGCCAGAGAAGATGTAATATAATCAAAATTCTGCAGAGATTTTGTAAGCTGACAGAAAGCACCAAACTGCAAGTCCAGCATCCAAGTTTTTCATTCTTGTGCATCTGCATTAGCAGAGTTATATCTAGTCTCTGAAAATGAGGGAAAGGAGGGTGTACTTGGCATTGCAAGCTCATAGGCATGTTTCAGGAATACATGAATAATTATGTTACCTTTTTTTTAGGATGTTTTTGTCTTATGTAAGTAGAATTAGTACAGGAAGTGTACACAAAGTGATTGTGGATTGGACTTTACATATGTGTTTGTGTATAAGAGGAGTACATATGAAGGAGATAGAGGACTCCAAGAAGGAACATCACGCTATCTTGAGTCCTCCCTGTTTCCATGAATGAAAGTTTTGGGCTCTACAGTCCTGACCACAGGGTAGGGGCTACAGTGGCCCCACGCCAAGCAGAGCCCATAAAGCAGAGAATTTCTTTGTGTGAATCTTCTTCATCCACCATTTGCTATCCAAACCATACTCCATGGCATTTCAAACCCAAAAGAGCAGAACAGGAGCCATGTGTGCTTTCAGGTGGCCCTCTCCTTTAGAGCTCTGAAAAGCAGAGGGCTGTTTTGGGGGACACCCACCCTTTTGTCCCTCTCTCAAGTGCTAGCCACTCTTGCTCAGACTCACATCCCAAGGCTGACTGCTCAGAGATAGGTGCCAAGTGGACTGCATGTGTGCACTCTACCAGGAGATTCAATGCAAGTGCTTTTAAGAGGTCAGTGCCCTCCCACTGGGAAATGGTAATATGCTATGTACTTAATGGTAATATGCTATGTACTTAATTAATTTCTACCCAACAGCAATACCATAAAATTGGAAAAAACAATTCCATCACCCAGGATCAATGTGTATAAAGTATACACAAAAGGATCAAAAGTTTTCATCAGTAAACTTGTGTTTGTGCTTTGGTTGAATATTCAGAGGTCCACTTCTACTATAGGCTGATGAATGCTGTACAGTTAATTACCAGTTAATTGCTTGTCTCTTTCTCCTTGTGTTGCTACTACACGGGTTAGAAATGACAGGGATGAGATTTTTGCTAGTCGCCTTCAGATCAGGAATCCAAGGGAAAAGCTTCCCATTAGATTTTACCATAAAGAGCCTTCCTTTTCATAAGTGTTTTTGTTTTATTTTTTTAAACATGCAAAAACAATCATATTATGATTACGGAAATTGAGCTACGAGGTAACCAGGTGGAGCTGCCATCTCATGAATGTTCAATGATACAGGCTGTAACGATTTCTTAACAACCAGTCTGGAGATGTAGCTACATAATACAAATAAAACTGGTTGAAAGAGTGAAAGCAACAATATAGCTACCATTTATACCAGACTACATAATATTATACAACAGCTTTGTAATTATTTGTTTTTTTGGTTTTTTTGTGGTACGCGGGCCTCTCACTGTTGTGGCCTCTCCCATTGCGGAGCACAGTCTCTGGACGCGTAGGCTCAGCGGCCATGGCTCACGGGCCCAGCCGCTCCGCGGCATGTGGGATCTTCCCAGACCAGGGCACGAACCCGCGTTGCCTATCTCCAGCACTTTAAGCTCCATGAGACAAAGACTATCCTTTCTTTCACCTCTGTCTCTCTAGTACCAAGCCCAGTACCCGATACTTAGCTGACACGCAGGAAATATTGTGAGTGAATGAACAAGTGATTAATGAACAACTGAAAAAGCCAGGTTTAAAACCCAGTTCTTCGAAACTGAGTTATTTGTAATGAGGTGGATGGACCTAGAATGTGTCATACAGAGTGAAGTCAGAAAGAGAAAAACAAATACCATATGTTAATGCACATATATGGAATCGAAAACAACAGTACTGATGAACCTAGTGGCAGGGCAGGAATAAAGATGCAGATGTGGAAAACAGACTTGAGGACACAGAGTGGGGAGGGGAAGCTGGGATGAAGTAAGAGAGTAGCATTGACATATATACACTACCAAATGTAAAATGGCTAGTGGGAAGCTGTTGCATAGCACAAGGAAATCAGCTTGATGCTTTGTGATGACCTAGAAGGGTGAGATAGGGAGGGTGGGAGGGAGGCTCAAGAGGGAGGGGATATGGGGATATATGTATACCTATAGCTGATTCACTTTGTTGCACAGCAGAAACTAACACAACATTGTAAAGCAATTATACTACAATAAAGATATATTTTAAAAATGAAAGTAAATAAATAAAACCCAGTTCTTGAGAATTCCCTGGCAGTCCAATGGTTAGAGCTCGGCGCTCTCACTGCTGGGGCCCCAGGTTCGATCCCTGGTCAGGGAACTGAGATCCCGCAAGCCATGCGGCACAGCAGGAAAACACACACACACACAAATAAAAAATGAACACCCAGTTCTTGGGCCTCGTATGCCATTCCCACGATAGCAAGATACACCCTTGCAGATACCCAGAAGTTCAAGGCAGAATAAAAGACATTAACAGAGGATATCGGGGCCATGGACTATAACTCCCATTTAATTTCATATGAATGTATGGCCTAACCAATTCGGAGATTTGTTTCCAGAAAGTATTGATTTATTCCCTTGAGATCAGTCCCGGTAAATACAAGTCTTAGTGCATTGGCAGTTCACTACTGTGGATGGCTCCCCAGTACATGGTGCTTTAGTTGATTGCACTTTGTGGTCTCAGCAGAGTGGGGCTGGATCTTGAGACTGGGCTCTTTCCTCATAGAATGATACCCTGAAGGAGGTCGGAGAGCCAAGGAAATGGAAGGCAGGTCCATAATCTCTGCCGCTTCTCACAGGCCCAGAGGGCTAGTGTCAGAATCAGAGAGAACGGCAGGAGCTCCTATTTCTTCTGCTGGGTGTCACCTGCCCCTGGCCCTTTTACCTGCCCCTGCATCTGAGGACCGAAAAAGCAGCACAATTTCACAGGCTGAATCTCCTCTCCCTAGCTGATCCGATCTAACTCACGAAGAATGGGTTACAAAGCACCAATACTCCATCAAAGGCAGGGCCCTTACTTTAATCTTGATCTTCAGGTTGCATTGACCTCAGATAGCTTTCCCAGAATGTTGTGAAAATATGCTATACACACACACACACACACACACACACACACACATTACTTTAGTATTCAAAGAAGTTTCTAGGGTTAATGGAGCATTTGACTCAAAGCATAGCCAACGTTTGCAGTGATATCTTGGGTATACAATTTGCATTTATGATTTCTTATCCTCTTCTCTTTACCAACACCAACCCCCTTAGGAAAGGAGCCTGGAGGGGGAACCAAGAGTTTGGATTGCAAGATTGAGGAGTGTGCTGAAACACCTGCTCTAGAGGACTCATCATCCCCTGCGGATATTCAGCAACATTCCTGGCAGGTTTCCACAGACATTGAGAACACTGAAAGGTAAGTGGGAAGTTACCCTAAATAGACTGCCAACCCTCCTCTAGTTAACACTCAGGGGCTAGAGAGAGTCGAGATTTTCTCTTTCAGATTCAGAAGCAGAGCTCTCAGTAAACGGAGATGAGAGACGGTAAGGGGTCCAAATCCATCTGCGGAATGACAGCAGAGCCTCCAGGAGATGTGGGCTCCCAGGCCTCTGCTTTTCCCACTCCACCAGTCTTGCATCTCCATGGAGATGAAAATGGAGTGCTTCCTTGGGAAGGGAGAAAGGTGGATCTATATACCCATCACAGCTCACCCACCAGGATGGGTCCCAAAATCTCCATTTGTTTAAGGGAGAAGAATTCAAAATCGTGCAAAGATGTCTCCAGTAGATTCTCAGATTTCAGGTGTATGGCATGGCCTATTCAGTTGCCAGTCAGGGGCTGAGTGTTCTGTCCAGTTCACAGACAGCTTTCCAAAGGGCTGTCTCCTCTTACTCTCCCAGGATGTAGATGATGGCCCCTTAGTGGTCAAAGTGAGTTAATGCATTTGTCTTAACAAGCAGTAGCTCACGGCTAGAGAGGGAGTTTCTTTCTTGGGAAGAAGAGATTCTACAGTGATTCTATTTCATTTGGGAAAAGGAAGCAATAACAATAATATAATCATAAACGCATCTAGATGCTAAAAATTCCATTCTGTGAGGCAGAGGGACAAGCCCCTTGTTTATTGGCCTTCACACTGATATCTTGTCCTTTGCTACTGATGTCCCCAGAGCCAGCACGAAGCCGCTGAACACTAGGCAATCCCATCTAGGACTCTGTGTGTGTGGGGTTGAGTCATTGACAAGATAATGAACGCTATTTTTTTATTTTTAGAAATGTATCACACAGTGACATTTAGAGCCATTGTAGTTCTACTTTCAGATTGTAATATAATTCTAAAGCTAATTAACCAAATTTCTGTGTTTATAGAAAATTGAAGCATGTGGTAATTACGTGCTATTAATAAAACTGGGATTTTGTCTAAGCTTGGAAATCCAACAATTCAAACAATAAAGCTGTTTGGCACAGTTTGGTAGAGCCATAGACAAATGATGAGTGATTTCTCTTAATTTATAAAGTAGAAAATGCTTTGCTCTATTCCCAGGAATATCTGCCAAAGTGCCATGGTCAGTGTGCAATCCTTCAGCAAAGCCATGTTCCTTCTCAGAAACCTCGCACAGAATCTCTATCCAAGCCTTTTAAGCTTCTCAGAGAGCAAGCTACGGCTGATAATAATAATAGGAGAGTCTAGCCCTCAGCGTTGGAGGTATTTCAGTTCAGCCTAAAAGTTCAGATTCTGGTCAAAGGCGGTGGGAGTGACTGGGAGAAGTAGGCACAGTAGACCTGGTCTGGGAGGGGGCTTCCTTGCTTCTCCCTATCACTTCGCCCTAAGAAATCCGTGGGTCTCAAACTGGGCTGCACATTAAAAACATTCCAAGCCAATTTAATGTGTTGACCCTTGGGAATGCTTAACACCTGTGTTGCTGTGAATTCCAATCACGATAATGAGAGACGACAGGGAGTGAAACCACACAGGCAGGACAGCCCTTGGACCAGATGAGAACATCATCACCCAGCCTCAGCTTTGCCCAGGGTTCTCCTGTTGTTCTAGTTGCGTGCCCTTCACCTGCCCTTGGAAACGTGAAGTACTGTCCTCATTACCAGAGGCTCTTCTCTGATCTCAGCCAGGTCCAACTGAAGGCAGATATGAGGGCTCCTATAGCAGAATGCCCTGCGGAAACGTGTGTCAGAGTAATTCTTATTCCTTCCAGAGCCAACCCAACTCAGATTTTCTTTTTTCTTATACAAGCAAAATAAATGCAATATTTGCCTACTGGAAGCTCGAGCTGGTACAGTTAGGCACAGACTTTGTCCTTCAGTTGTCTCACAGAACAGACGGTTTGAGATTACATTTCAAAACTTTACAGCTGATAGTTTTTCTTTTTATCAATTTTACAGAGACATGCGAGAAATGAAAAACCTTTTAAGCAAACTCAGGGAAACTATGCCTTTACCATTGAAAAATCAAGGTGAGTCTTGTCATTTCTCTTTGAGGCAGAGGATGTTTTTAACATGATAACCTTGGGTCTTGTTTCTTCAGAAATTAAAGCAAGTTTGTTGTTTTTACACAAGCAGTAGAAGGCATTGAGCCTACAGTTGTCTTTCCTCGAGAAGACAAGCGAATGAGAAGTTTATCAGGTGAATGCAGTTTTGCTCTGAGGGGGAGCTGAGAAACACTCTGATGACACAACAGACACCTCCTCCACTGGCCCTATCAGTCAAGAGCATTTATTCATTGTATACGCTGTGAAAAGCACCACACCATGTGTGGCAAACACAAAAGAACTGAAGACTTGGCCCTTTAAGAAGTTTACAGCCAAGCGGAAGAGACTTAAGAACACTTCCAAAGGAAGATCCCTGCCAACCACGTGTTGTGTTGTTATCTAAACAAAGTAATAGTAATAATTAACATAAATTGCCACTGTGATTTTGCATCCAATTCCAATGTATGGGGGTTTTTCCAAACCACCAAGCAATTATCGGACACCAGCTGGGTGTCCTGCAGTTCAACTGAATTCTGACACTAACTGGGGACAGCGTCGGATTCCATGAGTTAAGGGTTCAGTAGTCCTAAAAGACTGCCCGCCCTCAGCCCCAACTTTAGACACCAATCCCAAGTCCAGGTTGTCACCTGAGCTTCTGACATCCAGCTATAGATCAGAGGGTCCAATGAACTCCTTCTTAGGTTCAGTTAGTTCACTAGAGCAGCTCACAGAACTCAGAGAAACATTTTACTTACCAGATCACCGGTTTATTATTACAGGATATAACTCAGGAACAGCCAGAGAGAAGAGATGCACAGGGCAAGGTATGGGGAAAGGGCACAGAAATCCCATGCCCTCTCCAGGAGCACCACTCTCCCCAGTCTCAGAAGCTCTCCAAACCCTGTCCTTTTGAGTTTTTATAGTGGCTTCTTACACAGGCATGACCGATTAAATCACTGGCCATAGGCAATTGATTCAACTTCCAGCCCCTCTCCCCTCCCTGGAAGTCAGGGGGTGGGACTGAAATTGTTAACCCTCCAATCACATAGTTGATTCTCCTAGCAACCAGCCCCCATCCTCAGGTGTTTTCCAAAAGTCACATCATTAACATAACAAAAGACATCTTTATTGCTCTCTAAGGAAGTTCCCAGAGTTTTGGTAGCTCTGTGCCAAGAATGAGGTCAGAGACCAAATATATATAAATTACAATATCACAGCCACTACCCTAAATACCTTAGATGTATTAACTACATTAACTTATTTAATTCTAATAACAGCTTTGAGGGAAATGCTATTCATGTTTCCCAATTTACAGGAAACTGAGGCACAGAGAGGTTAACTAACTTGGCCAAGGTCACACAGGCTGTAAGTAGAAAGGCTGAGCTGTGATCCCAGGTAGCCTGTCTCCGGAACTATCCTATGGGCGTATACACCAGAAAAGGAAGCAGAAACACAGAAAGGGAAAGGGGATATTCACTAGAATGTAAGTTCTGTGAGGGGAGGGCCTCTGTATGCTTTTGTTAACTGTTTTATCTTCAGTACCTAGAGAAATGCTCGGAACATAGTAGAATAACACCCAGCATAAACATTAAATGTTTGTTCAACCTGCACCCAACTTTGCAGCCCCAGAGTCTGAAGATATGTACAAAGGACTAATAATAATCACTTTCACTAAGCACATATGGCCAGAGCAGCCTTAAGGGAAGCATCAGCTTCAGAGGGTGGTCCATAGAGGGTGGAGAAAGGGTTTTTAGAAGTAAGAAAGATACACCTTGTTTCCACCGAGCAAAGCCCAGGCGGGAGGGAGGGCAGGGTGCTGCTTGCCTCTGGGTGAGGAGGGAGAAGATTTGGCAGCAGAGCGGGAGCTCCACTTGGCTCAAGGAGCAGCGTGGCAGAAGGTGGAGAGGTGGAGGTGAGAACACCAGACAGTGTAGTGTGACCTGAGCTGCAAGGGACGGAGGCAGGTAACAGAAAATAAGAGGCGGGCGATTGACATATATACAATCATAGGTATAAAGTGGATAACTAATAAGAACCTGCTGTATAAAAGAAATAAAATTCAATTAAAAAATAAATAAAATTTAATAATAAGAAAAGTAAAAAAAAAAAAGAAAGAAAGAAAAGAAAAGAAGAGACCAGCAATGTGGTGCATCAGGTAAACTGCAAGCACCCCCAAAGGGCCTGGTGACCGAGGGTTCCTGGCTTGAGCCGTCGGTACAGTGTTTGGGAGGCCTTGTAGGGTTTTAAGAAAACAGTGTTTTACTACAGAGTGTTGTAGTAATGAGAGCCCTCTGGACACAGCCTGCAAGTTTGCTGCTAGAAATAAGCATGGTTAAGGCTAGCCTTGGGTTCCGACGCTTGCTCTGCCATTTTCCTGGAACAAGTAGTTTAACTTCTGGAAATGTACATTTCCTTATCCCTGAAAAAGAAATTAGACCACCTACTTCAGAGGCTTGTTGTAAGGATTAAATGATTAAACGCATGTCAATGCCCACTACCAACCTTACAGAGAGCAAGCGCTCAACAGATGCATTATTATTATTGTTATTATTGATATTTACCAGCTGGCCCACCAACCTAGTTCAGGAAAACTCCAAATCATCATTAAATTGAACAATACCTGCTACATTTCACTCTGAAGCAGACTATGTGTAGCATCCATGAAAGGTTGATCCTGAGCCAGCTCTCCAGAATATTGATCTCTGAGACTTTGGATTTGGGGCTCATGTCTGAAGCTATCCTCACCTTTGTATTATGTAGGGCAAGTCCCCCCCACCAACAGGATGTGGTTGGTCTTCTTTTACTTCACATCCAGTTGCTTAGGAGGATGACAACCCACAGCCCCCCAGGCTGAGTTTCATGGATGCCATAGCCTATATTTTAAATTAAATATCTGAAACATTCCCTCTATATTTAGTGAAAGTTCATCCAACAGTTTTTGAATCGGGCATTATTGGAAAAATAGAAATTTTATTTTTTTTACTTAGGACATTTTTATAATCACAAAAAGTATAATAGAAATACTGGGACGTCCCTGGCAGTCCTGTGGTTAAGTCTCTGCGCTTCCACTGCAGGGGGTGTGGGTTCGATCCCTGGTCAGAGATCTAAGATCCCACATGTCAAGTGGTGTGGCCAGAAAAATCCAAAATTATAGTAGAAATATTTTGTATGACTTTGTATTACTTTTATAAATGGAAAAAATAATTAGAATTTTAAATACATTTTAAAAATATAATAATAGTAATGAATGATTGATAATATGAGTGAAAACACAAGTGAAAAGGGAAAAATCGAAACAAGTGATGCCTAGGACTTGAACCCTAAATCCATTTGGGCCATGCAAAGGAAAAAGCTAGGAGATAGAAGGACTTCTTCAGGAGGGAGTAATGCTGTATGATTTTAAAATAATTTTTAAAATTCAGGTGAAGTCTTGTGGGAAATTAAGGTTTCTTCATTGGGGGGAGAAATGGGAACCCTTAGCACGTGAAGATACATCTCTGTTCTGAGCATGTTTAATGGGTACTCACAGCAAGACGTCACTGGGAGCGGAGCGGTGGGGAAGGGGAATGCAAGTCTCCGCTGGGATGTCTGAGAAGGCCTGAAGGAAGGAGAGCAGGTCTGTTGGAGTCACCATGGGAACATTTTTTAGCAGATGCATGCGGCACTATTTTAATCAGCAGATCAGCCAGATCCCTCTCTCTGCGTATACCAAGATAGAGCATAGAGGCTGCCCCATGACCTTCCTGGAATTCTTTCCAGGAGATTGATTTATTACACAGGTCTAATCTATGCAGAAAATGATGTGGGGTGAAATGTGGGAAAATGTGTTCCAGTTTTTTTCTGTAGGACCTTATTGTCAAAACATAATTCTAACTGGATGAAAAGCATTATAGAGAGCCATCTGTTTTCCTTCTGCCTGCTTCTTTCCTTTCTCTTTTCATTCCATTTACACGTGAGTTTGAAGCAGAGAGAAAAAGGGAAAAGATACTGCTCCTGGTCCCCCTTTTTCCTACACAAACCCTGACCATGTGGAAATCCTGCCAGGCACGTACAGGGTGCGGGTGGGGAACCCACACTGGAAATGCTCTGAATCCCCTGTTCTCCAGACTCCATCCTGTCCCGCAACTCAGAAATTCTTCCATGTTGATTTGAGCATTTCAAGATTGAATCCTATCTTCCCGCCTTCCCACCACAATCAAAACTTGACTCAACAACAATATGCTTTAAATTGATTTCCAGTGACAAATAAAGGAAGGTGGCCAAGATCAGGAATTGTAATGGATAGTGATTATGCCTTTATTTGAGATGGGACCTTTGCTTCTGTGCTTCCAGTTTAAGGCTGGAGACAGAGGTGCACAGAAGAAAACTCCCTTGCTCGGCTGCAGCTCCCGGCAGCCTCCCGGCAACGTCCAGGTCTCCTGGCTCTCAGCCCTCTGTCCTTTCCTCTGCTTCAGCACCTCTCCTGTCCTACATTCCAGGTCACTGGCAGTGCTGTAGGGAGCTTCATTAATTATGAGAGTCTTGCTGTGTCAAATGGATTACAAATGGAACCACCTGTGTAGAGCCCACAAAGTTACCGACAAAGGCTAAAAGGAGATGGGAAAGTGAAGGACAAGCATCTTCTAAATGCAGGCTGTAATCAAACAAAACACTGCAGAAATAATTTAAGCCTGAAAGACAGTTTCACCTTTTCCAAAATTCTGACTTCATGAATGCTGTGTGGTGTGTCAATACATTTACTCTTGCCTAGAATTCGGTTGGTGGTACCATGCATTAGAGTCTGTCTGAAGTGGATCAGTCAGGAATTGCAGCTGTTCTAGAATGGGCCCCCTCCTGCAGACAGTCCTACTCCAGACTAAACTGGGCCTAGGAACAGTTCCCCCATTCTCTATACCCCTGATCCACTCCAATCTGGACGTGCATAACTAGAACCAACATAGCCATGGCAAGCGGAAGAGTTCTCTGGCATCTGGCTGAAGAACATTGAGCAGTTATGTCACCTGCTAGCCTGGAGATGACTTTTTAGGTCCTTCCCCAGCACCTCATATAAAGACTTTCTGTGCCTCAAGTTGGTGTCTGAATGTCACTCTGGGCAGTTTTTTGTTTTGTTTTTTAATTAATTAATTAATTTTTGGCTCCATTGCGTCTTCGTTG